ATAGCAGTGGCCCTTCGTACTTTTTTTATTCGAATATTAACACATTTTATGGTCCCTATTTTTTTTATAGCGTATGTGATATAAAATGGAATAAAACGATACAAATTTCATAGAGTGAATAGTTACGGTTGGTTTTATGATTGCAGAGTGAATTTATACAGTTGAGAAATGATCTTCACGCGTAGTTTGTCAATTATTAGACAGTCGATAACATTATTATTGAACAATAAATTGAGATTTGAATTATAGGAAATCAAACAATCGAATTTATGTGTATCCATATTGATTTTGTCCAACCAATATTGTTGTTACCGTTACGTTATTCGTATACCCACGGGCCCACGGAACATGCACTATCAACCTTGCATATTCATATGAAATTATTTATCTTACTGACATTGTACCCATTTTATCGTATGCGAAAAACGGTCACTTTTTAATGGAACTTTAACAGATATTGAAGTTTCCATCGTTACCAGTGGAAACCATTAATTTTTTATGGAAAACGTAAGCAAAATTTGTGACACGTGTTATGAATTTAAATGATACCGGGTGCTATCAGAAATTGTCAATTTCATTCAAAGCCTGTTGGCGATATAAATATCTGCCGATACGATAAATTCCTCTGCAGAGGAATATTCCATGAGCGAAAATAATGAGTTTCATTAATTCGCTGTTGCGACCATTCATTTGCGAAAAAATTGGGGATAAAATTGCGATGCGCAAGCTGTATCTTCCACATTAATATTTTGCTTTAATCCTCGCCTCTTTACAAGCCTTTCATCATATTTTTATGGATCTCAATATCGACACAAACTTTTTTTTAATATTTATTTTTAACGTAGATTTTTTTTAGCGATTGTTGTAACAGATTCTGCTGATAGATGATGCTCATACGTTTGCGAGCAGAATACAGTGGCTGTTACAATGATAGGCTAATGATCTTTGGAATGGCGTTCGGACATGAATACCGATCGATTGAACGACGAGGTCAGTTCAACAATCGACGTAGTCAATAACAGTAAAGCAACATGCGATACATGATAATCTAGTCTAGTCCGTTTCCAATATCCATCTTCTGTCAATTTCAATAGTCCTTTATCACTTAAAGTGACAACGCATTTCAGTCATGGTAAAACATCTGATGTACACAACATGTATATTAAATTAATTAATTATCAGAGGTTAAGATTATTTTTGCCTATACTTTTAATAAAATGTTAATTCCACGATTTTAGTCGATTCAATGAAATTGCAGACTACCAATGTTCGTTGCTTTTGGCGATAACGGTTACGTTTGATGCCAATTAATTTCAAGCACAGACAGGATCATAAACGAGTGCCATCTTAGAATCGAGCATCGCTTGTTTCGTACTCGAACGATCAATTTTCCGTTGGCCGATAATTAATCTTCTTATGTGGTTGCGCGCACGGAAATTGGTCTAATTCTCTAATTGCGCAAATTAGCTTAAGCGCTTTGAGCAATTACGCGGCTCCGGCGTTTGACATCCAGCAAATTATAGACACGCCTAAATACGGTTCACCCATTGTCTCGTTCCTGGCGGGCTCACCTGCCTACTTGTGTACAACTTGCACGATCTCGCGCGAGAAGAGATAATACACCGTTGTTCATCAAGAGTTGTTCACCCCTCTTTGTTGCAGAGATCATCTCCCTTCAGGTGACAAATAGATATTATCGCAAAACACGTTGAAGATCGCAAAAAGAGACTGCGTTTATCAATGAACAAAGAGAATGCGATTAATGTCGAGCATGTATTCTTTACGATATTGTGCGAGCATATAAGCTGTGGATGACGAGTCGAGTAGTATCTGATGGGAACTAATATCTCAAGCAGCTTCGAGATTGGCACTTGGAAGTTGAGATAATCGTCGACTCTCTTAGAGTCTCAGCAGTGCTTTGTAGACAGTCTAATCGTAGGGGATCATCTTCGAACTATCATAACTTCCAGCGTACTTGAGAAGTAATCATTTACTTAGATGGAAATTGCTCTTGGCTAACTCGATTCTGTTATGTATGTCTTGTAATCGATTTAGATCAAACGAACGTGGTTCAAGGTTTCGAGTAATTAACACTTTCGCGGGTAAATATAATCCCTATAATCGACGAAACAAAATAACTGCTCGCGGAATATTTAATAATATATTGCAATGTATTTTTAAAATCTAAATAAATTCGTGATTCGGTTCTTATTACACTTGAGTAAACATCTGAATCTAATTATCATAATCCTCAGCAGCTACATGTGCTAAAAGCAAAAACGAACCGAATGTCACCAAGTAGAAAGGAAATCGTTACATAGAATCGGCGGAAGCTGCATAAAAAGTCACAAAAGAGGATCTGCGGGATGTGGAAAGGGTCGGCGTAATTCCATCGTGGATTACCCGTCTAACGAGCAGATTAATCTTACGTTAGCCTTTGGTTACTACCGCGATTTATGCTCTGGTGGCCGGAAACGATTTGTAATTCCAACGAAAACGCTGGTTATTGAGAGCTCGGTCGCTGCGGATCCCCCGGAACCGAAGTCCGGATCACGTCTGTCTTTCTCTCTAACGGCAACGGGAATTTTTCGAATAAAGAGTGGCTAGAGGGAACCCAGAGATGCGAATCTCTCGCAAGACAGAGAGAAAAACCAGAAGAGAGTAAGGAGATAAAGGGAGCATAAGCGTCTGTTGTGTCTGCGATCGGGCACAATCGAACGAGGACACGCCGCGCCGCGCACACCCGCTTCTTCGACTTTCTAAAAAGCGGAAGGATTCCCTGACGAAAAAGCGCTCTTCCGCGGCGGCTTTCAGCTCTTTTCATCCTGAAAACGTGAGTCCCCGTATACAATGCCGAATGAAGTTCACGTGACTTCTGTCAATGCGAGGGAACATATTGTCACTTCCTTCTTCTCCCTCATTTTCAACTTCTTATTCCTCGGCAGGAATATGCGAACCTTTGACAGCGGTTTTGCTTCAATCCTGTTCATGTTTCTACCCTTGTGTGTAGATGTATATCTTTGGCTAGCTTTTTCAAAGAAGACCTCTATTATACTCCCTTCAATTTTGATAAGTCATGAAACCGAATTATCTAAGTAGGAGTTCGGTTAAGGAGGACTTCCACTATCTGATACCGTTTAGACAGTTGTCGGATCTGACAGCTCAAAAACGAGCGAAATCAGGGTTGTAGTCAGTAGAATAGAGTATAGGGGGGCCTCCTGAGGCCTCCTGCTTTTACATGCTTTTCTCTATATGAACGGTATCGGATAATGGGAATCATTCTTTAGTAACGTGCCTTTGTACGGTTCCGGTCACTAACATCATTTCTTTCTGCAGCAGCATGAAAGTAGTATTTTAAATGGATGATGTTCACTGTTGGGAATTATGGCGATAAAAGATACTGTAGGTTCTTTATAACGAAGTACTCGCTCCTTAATTGTATAATAAAAGAGAAACTAAGCGGGTGATAAATCGCGACTCTCATCTCTCCTAAAGATTGTATTTTTTTTATCACTTTCTCGAACATTCTAGTATACGATTACACGATTTCAGTTAATGAATTTTTCTACGCAACCGCGCCAGGACAATGTCGTTAATTCCTCCGCGAGGAGCTGCCTGACAGTTCAAATGACAATTAGTATTAATTCGTGTTAATTGTCATTCTGGGCTGCGATTTAATTCCCTGTTGGTCAGATTTCTTCCAAACCAGTCGCGATCAATTAGCAATTCACTGGCTCTGACAAATCCGAACCTTGATTCATTATTTTGTTTCAATGTTGTGTTTCAATGAACGGTTTCTTGCACGAACATCTTCCAAGACCGAACAAAAATTTTGTGATTTACTCTTCTTCGGATTATTAAATTATGAACGTATTTATTAAATATTCTCATTGACTGCAGGTTCATTCCAATCATAAGTTATAGTTCTTCAATAATCTTCATACATATAATATTAATATTCATATTATTCAATTGTATTTATAAATTAAGAAGAGAGACAGAAAAAGGAATCATCATCAATCAACGAAGAAGGGACGATTTCTCCGTCGATTTACGTCGCTTCCGGGCGACCTCATCGCGTCGCGATTTCGTCGAAATTTCAAGCTGGAAGACAGAACGCCCTTTATCTTGTCCCGAGATCGGATGCACACGCACGATTAGACATCCTCAAATAGGTTCAATCGACTGCGGTGCAACGCGACTTGCTCGAACGACTCGGCTGCCGCTCCTCCGAAGGATAATGTTGCGAGAACCGCTCTTCCTTCTCTTTTCTCCGAGCCTAGATTTCTACGCTGATTCCACGAGATCTTTTCGGTACATCTGGTAAGCGCATTACCGGATAAAGAACAGACTTTTATCTAACCAACTAGTTCCTCTCCAAGACACGTCGTTTCACGTTCAACATCGCTGACGAAGACTCAACATATTTATCTTAACTTGCTTTAAACGTAGCCTGATTGGGGCACTGATGTCACTTTCAATTGAAAGTCTACGCTTTGTTTCAGTTGTAAGGAAATGAAATATAATTTCCAGTGGTATATTAGCTCGAAGCATGCGAAATATCGTTTTATTCAAACGTAACAGATGTTTCTGTAGAATAAACGCATCGCGTGTTGGACTCAAGTTATTAATCTAATTATTTTAAACATTCCATGATACAACCGTTCACATAAAACACATTTCTAAAGACTGTTTACCATAAATGTTTTATATTACATAAAAATCCGCAGTCTACCTATAATTCTTATTCATATTCTTCAAACTATTCTATCTCTGATTTGAATTACAATAATAGATGATGAGATAAGACAGGATAGACGCTTTTCAGTTAGAAAATCTAAGCGTTAGAAACAGCGACGTGTCACACGCCTCAACCTAATATAATTTTTAATATCCGAGAGCAACCATGATCAATTATATGTATCATTAATTTTATAGAAGTTGCCGGATTTCTAATCGTTTCGAATTTACAAATAAGAAAAAGAAGAAAATGAACTCACCGTTGAGCACGTGGACCGCGATGGTGGTCTTGGCCTTCCCCGGCACCATGCAACTATAGTTCCCGGCGTGCCTCGGAGTGGCCTTCTCCACGATCAGAGTGCTGACGATCACGAGGACTTCTCTGCCAGCCAGTATCTCCATTGTCCTGTTTTCACTGAAATATAAACGTCCCATACTGTTTACTTAGCACAAATACTATAAATTCCATTTATTTGTTATTGATACGATGTCATACAATTAATGATAAATAACTAAATAATTATTGTCATAAATGTGTAAATATTAAACAATTAAAGAAAGAAATTACGATATACCTAACATCGTCGGTAAGCGTCTCGTCGCCCCTGGTCCAAACGACGGACTCCGTTAAGGACTCGTTAATATCTCTGGCCTCGCACCTGAGCTTCAGAGCACTTCCCGCCTTTAGATGTCTCTCCTTGGGCACCACCCGACCGGAATCGTCCGTTATTGTCAACTCCGGCGCTGCAATCCAGAAAGCACGTTTCTATAATACACGTGCTTACACCTTCATCATAAACTACGTGTACGAGTAGACCCATCAATCAATGTACAATATTTTTTGTCCCCTATTTTATGAGGCGTTCATTTTTTATCGAACGTAGAACATAAGAGTGTATAAGGAAAAAGTAGAGATGAGTAGAGAGATTGTCAATGAGCCCATCTAACGCGAGCCGGTTTTTGATAACCATAAACGACTGCTTCTAACATCAAACGTACGAAACGTACACGTATTTTGAGAAGAGTACTGAAAAAGACTTACACATATTACATTCTTATGTACTTTTAATGCGCGCTAACATTAGAGGCACTCGGTTACTTAAATGGGCTCATCGACACTCTCCTTACTTATCTCGGATGAAAGGTACATATACTCGTATATTTCGCCTGTGCCCTCATGTCAAGACGCAATTTTACACGCTTGACGAAGGAGATTTCGTCGTTGCCTGGAGATATTAAAGTTGAACAGCTCGACGACGGACAATTCCCGTTGTTCCACGAAATTATAACGCGCGGTGATAAAACCCGTTTTTTCCAACCACGGAATTAAACTTTCAAAGAGGCTCCGGTTAAGAGCACGATTACAACGCGAGGTCGTAGAATTACATCCCGGGGCGAAATGTATTCATAATTAACGGTCGTAAAACGGAGGAATCGTTTCAAGGAGCTGTACTAATTTACATCGTATAATTAAAGCATTTCGCTACGAAATCCGTTCCGAGAAGTGCTCCCGTTAATGAGACGCTGACGCGACAATCGCTAACGAAAACGGTTATCAAGAACTCGCTGTTCGAAGCTACTCCTGTACTTTCGAAGTCCTGTCAGAAACAGGATGGTCCGCGACCGGATAGATTTATCAGGGATCGACTATCTCCTCGGTGAAGCCAACACCGTGGGTGACAAATGCGATACAGATAGGACGTATTCGAACGTGACTGTTCATACGTATTAGGGTCGAGGAGAACGAGGACTGCGACTACACAAGGTTTCCGCTCCTCCACGAGAATTGACGTCGAGGGTTGATCGTGACTGGCAGGGTAAATGCTTGGTAACAGTTACCAGTACACCATGCGCTTTGTGCAATATTAATAGTTACAACGAACTCCTTTATCTCGAACAGACTCAATTTCAAATGTTGTGTTCCACTACGACTAAAGCATTTTTATGTACATTTCATGTTTTCCAGTCCAGTTGAACATGGAATAGATTGGAGTATATCAATAAATTTTATTGGTGAACTGCGGAGTTTTATACGAATAAAATATTTACGGAATTAGTTTAAAAAATGTGTTTTACATTTGGACTGTGGATTTCAATTTCATTTTTTAAATTGATATCACAAAAGTTTTATTTTTCATATGAATCCACAGTAACGCTAATTTAATCAACAAAAATTGCTAGTGTTTTTTTCGCTGGTAGTGGTCACGAATTTTAGCGTTCGACGCCCAGGACACGGCTCTTTTTCCAGGACGCCATTAAGATTCAGCGGAGCCGACCCAGCTGCGATTCTCAAGTCGACAGCTATGCAAATTCCTTAGCGCTTTCCAGGTTCTATCCACTCCTCGTTCGTCTCTCCTCGACCGTTTACACGCGGGCAAGCGTGTATTTTCGGTGCAACGGGATATATCTTGTTTGAACAAAACTTTTTATCCCGGTTTATGTAGCGATAAGTTTTGCGAAAGCTTGCTACGTAGCATTATATGCTACTCGAAATTTACTAGAGTACAGATTTCTGGTTGTACGAAAACATTCAAATGATTTGCAATGAGAATTTGAAATATATATTCAACAGGGAACATTTTTAAACCTATTTTAGTTTAGATTCTGTTTTATATGTATAATCAAACATCTGCGAATTTGCATTTACATATTAAAATGTTTTCATCGTTTTAATTGAACATAATTAAGCGTGCATAACAAAAACAGTAAACTTGTTTTTATCAGCAAATTTATAATTTAAGAGCACTGACTCTTTAATGAAATTATACAATCATCGATTTAAATTTGTTTAGTATTACATTGAACAGAAAATATTATAAATTATACTTGTTGTAAAATGTATTTCCTTTTCCTTTCAATATTTATTGCCTCGCAACAATCTTAAACTACAAGAGTCCATGTTTCACGAAGATCGTGATTCACCGCACACGGAACAGCCCTTGAAACATTTACCATCGAGGAACAATTCCAACTAGCTGTGTTCGCCAAGTCGTAACAATTCCTAACATGCGGAACGACAGTTTCGACTTAATCGCTGACGCGAAGGAAGCGTGTCGGTGAACACAGTGGCCAGAAGTTTTCAGTGTAAAGTTGCATTTAATACAAAAAAAGAACAATTTTGCTTAATTTCCATTTTAACAAGATGGCAAATATTTACGATGTCAAGTAGAATAAATTAGTCATTGGCATTTTCGGCACAATCGAGTAGAACGCGTCAACTATTGATCAGACGGGACGTATCGAGTACAATCTATAGTTAATGTGTCACACACAGTTTTCGCCCGATGTCTTTGTGAAACCAGAACTCTGGATCGACTATTTCCAGGAATTAAATCAATCAACAGCTAGCTATATCCAACAGCGAATTAAAAAGTATTTCCCTGGGGGATTTGTCCTAAAACAGGCCGATCAATCTTGCACAATATCCCGTACTCCTGCCTTAAGTTTTCAATTTATATGCAGCTCCGCGTTAGCAAGGAATATCGAACGTGACAGATCCGGTGGCGCGGTAAGTCTACGCGAAAACGTAAAACGGCGTCGTTTCGACTGCACTCGAAGCCAGACAAATCTGTAAACTCCGAACTGGAAGCGGATTTCGTCGACATTGGTGTCAACCACTACTGGAAAATCTCTATAATAGTGGTGGCCAAAGCTTATTATGATGTCAGTCGTATACGTTGTTTATCCAAGATATTGTGTAATCATGTCTTCAGTTGAATTGGTTCTTTTAAATAATATTATTTTCTTATTATTAGATTCGATTGGTTAAATCAATCGTTCAGCGTACACAGACTGTATAGGACGTGTCTTTAACTATAATTTTTTCATTACCTGATTACACTTATCATTGCGGCAAAAGTCTGTCTGCCTGCTTACTTGCCTGCCGATCAGTCGTCCGTTTGTTTGTGTGAAAACTTATACTGATTGTCGATTTTTGTCATACTTCTTATAAATGCATAACATTCGCAGTTTACTTATCATATAATAGCAACCATATTTTCTTAGGTGAAGACTCGGTTTGCAGAGTGCTGTCAGATATCTAAAGCTGGGTTCGAGCGGACGCGAGCGGAATTCAATGAAAAATTTAATCCAGCGAAACGGAGCCGACAGGATTGCGGCGACGAGCGAAACGAAAATTTCTTCCGGTGGATTATTTTTTCAAGCTTTTTGTGACGAACGGTTGTGAACGCGACGATGGGGAGGAGATAGGACGCACGAGAGAATTCAAGCGGATGCTTTCCCGAGGGGGACGTCAGAACTCGTAAGAGAAAGAAGGCGAGTATTATTTAAATTGGATTCCGCGATTCCGTATGGCGCCGCTTCCAAGATACCCTCGCTTTTCTTTCAGTTTTGCCAATTGCTCCGCTTGCGTTCCCTGAAATATTAAGCCCCGACGATTCTCTATACCCGTTGGATACCCTTGCGCAACGTTGTCCGGATTGAATCTACATTACTCTTTTTCCTTCCTCCATCGCGAACCCTCTGGAGAATCGTTATCGAGCCTAGAATTTTAATAATCGGATGAGAGCCTACGCAGAGATTGAACATCCTTCGCCAATTTATTCTCCCGTACCGTCACCGGCGCGAATTTTCTACCGCTGACGGGATTTGCATGAATGAGGGACTTCTGTTAAACATAAATGCGAACTGGTGAAATTTTCCAGAACTATTCAAGATCTCACTTTACAAAATGGTTTTGGACCCCACCGAACATGATTACCCTTCCGTCGAGCTAACTAAGTCAGCGTTCCGTTATTCGCTGCGGAACAAAGCGAGTTTCGCAAGGTTCTCGCGGTCCGAACATTACCTGTGAGTGGATCGCTGCCGGTTAGTGGCGTGGTTAAAAGCTGTCTCGTTGCCGGAACGGTGCAATTCGAGGCACCTTTAATTAGAACGGGATTTACGTCGAGGAACTCTGACGGCACGCGAAACGAGAGAAAACAATGGCATCCTCGAAGAATCCGGTCGTTTCGGCCGATAGCACGTAGAACGGGATTTTATGCTTGCGTCCAAGGTCCTTTGCAACCCGCTGTAATACTTTCTAGCTTTCTGGGTTAGCGTGTTCCCTTTAATTAAATTGTGATAGATGCTAACCGTTCAACTGCTCTGGTTTTAAATTCTTTTTCGCAAACGCAACAATTTTTCTCTTGAACGGTTGCAGGCAAATTGTAATACATGTTGAAAATTTTATTCATGAAATCGAATATAATTTTTAGCAGCAATAAAGGCCACATGAACTTCAATGCAAGAAAGAGGAGTTAAGTATGTTAATGGCTTGGAAAGAAGTCGCATGAATGAAGAGTTAATGAAGCAGAGTTAAGAGACTCGCGTGAGAGATTTCTAAAGGTAAATTTGCTGAAGATGCTGAGAAATCGATAGTCAATGACGAACTGTCAATGACCGAACAGGGACACGGACGTTCATGAATATTAAATGCAATTTTAAATAAATTTAATCCAGGATTCACGGGGACTGAATATTCATTGGCGTTATTGATGAACGTCGTGTTTCATTCATGTGGTCTGCGTCATTTCCCTACGCTCTTCTCGTATAATTGCTCCGAATCTTTTTATTGTACTGATACCTTATCCAGTTCATTTTAAAAAATGGCTAAGAAAAAGTAAGAACAAAAAAGAACAACATTGTAATCTCGATTATCGTGGCTTCCTTATTTCATTACTTGAATTCCGTTCTTTCCAACCAAGCAGTCTTATCAGTTAACAATAAAAATGTTTATCATAAATTCGTAACACTAAACCGAACACTATTCAATTAATTTTTATTTATTTATTTAGTTACAAACGAGCTGTGAGCCTTTTTCTCATAAAATTAAAACAACAGACAAATGGACCATCACAAATCATATTAGCATATTTTTTCTACAATTTGACTAGTGCGGCCGATAAATATTGAAGGAAAACACGTTTTGCGAATTCTCGATAAACAGGCTCGTAATAAAGGATTTAATAAATTGACATGTCCTAACTACTAGTCTTGATCTAAAACAGGCGTAGTAGCACGGGCGTAACAAATATTGTCGTAGCTCACGGCCATCTAACAAATGGGCTACGATGAACGCGTATCAATCATCGTATTAATCGTATCGATGATCGATCACCAAACGCGATGCGTCTGCTCCCGTCGTGGCCATGCTCGTTCACATAACACGTTTCAGAAGTCGTTTCCCCGTAACTACTGTTCTAACGTGACAAATACGCAATTTCGGGGAACACGGAAAGTGCACCCTCGTCGACATCGATCGCAACATACTGTGCTTCCTGTTTCACTATCGATAGATTTGATTCGCTGTGGCCGCCCACCTGGCTCGATTCTCTCCGATTTCTTATAGAAAATTTTGAATAGGTGGAAAAATGATAAATTTTTGTCACCATAAGAATCTGACAATAAATTATATGTATAATCATAATTATATAATGACGAATGAATAAAAGTAGTCTCAACGTTTTTACCTGTTAAAATACTCATAGATATGAGTGATATATTTATCATTATTCGAGATTCAAGGTAGAAGTAACGAATTGCGGGACGATAAAAGAAGAATCGCTTGGGAGGAGAACGCGTTCCTTCTGAATTAAGTAGTTCAATCAATCATTCGTCAGACCATCATCCAATTCTCAGACTCCAATCAATCATCCTCCGACAAATCGTCTGCCAATGAAACTTAATCGTAACTAAGATAACGACCAATTTCTCTTATTGATTTTCACCCTTGTTTGATACTTCTTGCGTAACGAGTTCGCAGATTTGTTGCAAAAATATATCAAACAGAGATGAGAATCGATACCAGAAGCTCCACGACGAATCTTTCCTTTCGGGTTCCTCTTAAAGAGGGAGGAGGTCAAAGAAATTCCAGTGGCACGGCGTCTCGCAAAAGACGTGGTCCGTCGGGATTCACGGCAACGAGAGAGAGAGAGAGAGCAACATGAGACGTGGACCTGGTGCTCGAAGCGAGATAGAAAATGGGGAAGAGAGTAGCAATGTCAGTCTATCCGGGTTTGTTCTGCCCTACTTCGCTCTCGCTTTTGTTCACCGGCTGGCCCACCCTCGGATCAGATCAGATTACCGGCCACGAGGCGCTTTAGTCGACGAAATGCGGGTTTCCATTGCACCCGAATCGGCGACATAAGGGGATTGGGAAACGCGAGACGCACGCTGGTAACCCTTTGCACCAGTCGCTCGTGTTTCCTGCGACCTCCCTTTCTTAGTTCTCGAATGTCGCCCTTAGTTTTGGACTCGGTCAAGCCTTACCCCCCTCTCCTAACGCCCAATAGGATTTTCCGCGTTGCAACCCTACTCGATGGACCGTGGAAACGAGATGAGAGGAGAGTGCTTCCATCCATCTCGCTTTACAAGCTGGAATTCTATTTATTCGGTTCACGTGGTCTTGTTGACTATGTTATCTTCTGGTTACGTCTCTTGGTGCACCAAGGATGGATTAGGACATTTATTAAGTACTTTACGCGTACGCATTGTATTTAAATCCTTACATCGGTTGAGAAGTTGAAAGTGAGAATCGTAAATAATATTCAAGCAACAAATAGGAGTCTATTAACACGTTAAGCGCGGCGTTAGTCTCTGGGGACTGACAGTAAACTTCTCGTTCAGGCGGCGTGTCGTCGGTCCCTGGGAAGCAACAGTGAACTTTTCCTTTTTCTGGTTCCAGGAACTGGCAGTATCAAAGTTAAGAAATATATAATGTAGTTTTAATGAATTTATTCAAACATTCTAAGCAAATACGTGATTTGATTTTACAAGTATTACAGAAAGTGACGACTTTTTTGGTCAAATTTCCAGCTGTCTTATGTCCAAATGTTTTTGCTGTACATTACTGTAGACCAACCGGTAAATGAAATAAAATCGTTACTGCGATATATGTTTTATACTGTGGAACATAATACTTGTCGAGTGGCCAATACCCGCCGCGCTGCGTGAACGAGAAGCTCAGTAAAATTGACTCTGCGCGTAACGTGTTAATAACTCATTAAATAATAGAAGTGTTTAAATAAATACACATACTCCAAGTATTACGAATCAAATACGATGCAACAAGTACAACTAGGTACATTTAAATACGTGAATTGCTATTTCGTTTGGAGTTAAAACTGATCACCAGAATCCTGTTCGTCAACTACTATCAGATTATACAAAAAAATTAAAAAACAAAATGTGTTTTTTTGCCAAGGCGAGGTTTGGCCACAGGTAATTCAATAGCCAAACAATCGCTGATCATGATACCGTTTACAAAGGAATCGCTTACCCGTGACGACAACGTTAATCGTTTTAACCAGCGGCGGATGCGTCGCTACTTGGCACTTGTATAAACCGGAATCTCGTGGGGTTGCGTACTGGATCTGTAACCTCCAATTGCTCGGATATCTGTTAAACGAAACAAGAGAACCACGATTTCATGTATATTTGCATCGTCACGGCACTTGGGCCTGTATCTGACTTTTACGTGGCGCATAAAACGAAAATCCGAACGAATTTGTACTGTTTTATAAACATAGAGGATCAACAGAAATGCTAAAACTAAATTTTGTAAATTCCTCCGACAATTTTATATTAATTTAACACTGGTACCACTAATTTTTTCAGTATATATGCATTTCTTCATTAAAAATCCATCATTTACGAAGGGTTTGATAATTCTCTTGTTCATAGTAAGAATGATATGACAGAATTTGAATTAATCACTCGAGCGTTAATTAGAAAATTAATTAGCTGTCTAATATATTCATCGACATTATTGTGTTTCGCATTCGCTTAATCATCAGTTTATCTCAACATCCGGCGTATTTCGGCAATTTCACTTACCGGAACATCAAGCTGATCCTCTGATCCACGCTGTACACGGTCCTGCCGACGGTGAGTAATCGAAACGAGTCCTTGCTTGCTTGATGGTGCCACGTCACCTGAATCGCAACGCAGTGAAATATCCTTCGTTATTGCCTCATAAATCACGGATTTCTTCGGACGAGAATAGAGCCCGGGGTTTCCCACGAGGAGAACGAGAAAGAGAGGCATCGGCATTGTTTCTGGCAGAAGCGACCCGCCGGAATTAAAGGGAATCTCGCGAAAAGTTAATAATTTCGCGACAAGGAACCGGGGGAGAGCCCCACTCCTGAGAGTCTGAATCCTTGCGAATGAATGCTGCCTCCGTCTCGTCCCCCTCGCGTCGTGCAATTTCTCGCTAAGCGTTTGGAAAAGACGAGCTTACAAGCCTCGCTCTGCCCTGTCGACGAATCTACCGTAACACGACCAAACCATCTTTTTCTCGCCCACCGAAACTCTGTTTCATATTGTACGTGACGAATGTCAAGATAAAGGAATATCGGAAGCAATTTAATTGTCCGCACTGATAGAAGGCAAATTAACTTACTGACATAATATGCAAACTCAAATGTTTGAACCCCAATTCAAATAAGTCAATTCAGAGATGACGATATGAATGAAATATTGCACACACCTAAGAGTATGTTATTTACTGTACAACAATATTGCTGACTATCCAATTCTGCTATTCTCCTACGCGAAGCGATATAATTTCATCGATTGTGCATTGCTAATCGATCATACAACAACGCTTCGCGTTGACATCGCGGCAACGTGTTCCGCCAAACGTATAACGTAGGTATTATTCGGTAATCCGTCGCGAACCGATACGCCCGCGGGAAAATGATACAGTATTAAAACGAGGCAACAATTTTATGCAAATCCGGTAGGGATTTGTCAATTAATCGACTGCAAACTGCCTCGAACAACGCTTCCGAACGCACAATAAGCTTCGCGGTATCAACAACGCGGTGTCCCGGTGGATTTCCAGACGAGAATCGACATGGAACAGTGCACATTCCTTTTTAAAGAGGAAATAAAGAAACTTTTGTTAGCGAATTCACGATAAGCGGGGAAGTTAATGACATCGTCAACTATGGAAAGAATGCTTGTAAAATATAATTCGTATCACGATAATTGCAAAATATATTGTTAAAATTTAATATCTAAAATATTTCATAAATATTTGCAAATTTTTATGTTTTGCTATTATTTGTGCATAGACGTTGCACGCATCTCACATATTTATCGTGCATAAATATCCGGAATCTGCTTATTAAAAACCTATTCAATCTCCACGGAATTTTTGTTGAAATAAGAGATGCACCGGGCCATCTCGATTAAATTCGCGCTGGCTCGAATGTCGCATGAACTCGGTTGATATTCTTTTAAGATATCGACGGCGGCAACGCGACGCTTCTTTCACGTTACTCGGCCCACGATCGCCGCTCAGAATCGGTTTCGCATTACGTATTCTGTGGAATATGAATCCATCTGGAATCCCAAGCGACCGTTTCTCCGTCCCCGTCTCCCGGTTTACTTTATCTATCTGCCTCCCGCCCGTCCTTTCTTGTCCGACTTCTCCCTCAGCTGATTACGATGCGAAAAGTTCGTCGACTTGGTGGCTACAGCCCGTCGCGAACGATAACGAATCGTGTTTGCAATTGTAATCATTTGCGGTTTTAGATCTATTTTCCAATTCGCCAAACGCGCTTTCATTTAATTTCATAAGAAATCCGGAGCGTTAGTTCTGAGTATACAATTAATTAGCGAGGTCAAGAACGCTCTTAAAGATATTCGTGATCAATATTTCAATGGTTTTGCTAAAAAACTGTGAAGGTATTCGAATTTTTTAAATGTATTCTGGAACCGTTCGAAAGCTTCAGGCTAGTCGAGCCAGATCAATCTCTAAAGTAAAGGAAACATATTTCTCTTTTCAGAATACGTGCACTTTACGATACGCAAACAAAAAATCGTCCTCGTAAGACAACAAGTCAGTTCAATCTTCGATTACTACGTGCTTTTCAGTATGTTTGCATCAATCTCAATACGGTCTAATTTAAATCCGAAGCGGAAGAGGACCGTAACACGCTATCCATCATCGTTATGCTGTATACATTCCATTTCCTCCATTTTATTTGCTAAAAAACATTAATGGAACGGAGGAAAAAAATAAACGAAACAATGATTGATAAAATGTAATAAATGAAACGGTCGCTTTTCATTTTCCAATCTTTTTTCGTGGTCCACTTGTCATACCCTTTTTATAATCGGGTGCAACCACTGCATCGAGTTTCGAAAGAGAAATCTAGCCTGAAGCGAAGGAGAGAACAGGAGAAATCGATCCGAATCCTCCCTTTACTCTCCTGTCCTCGCTTTATCATCGTGGATCCTTTTTTATTGCGCGACACGGAGATCATAAAAATATAACAAGACCGTTCGCAAGCTCGGTTTTTCATCATGACATCGTGCCTATTTTCCAACTTGCATCACAGTCACCGACTCGACCGAATAATAAAGGCAGTCCAAAGGGCGCTGACAGTGAGGAACGCGAAAGCAGATAAACTTTCACCGTGACAAAGCGATACATTGCTCTCTTTATTTCTTTCTTTTTTAATGCTCCGATGAAAGGAGAAATGCGAATGCGTGATTGAATCTCTTGTTTCGCACGCGGAAATGTATACTATGTAGATATTGAAACAAGAGTTTTATTTCTCTCTCTCATTTACCCAAGTACTGGTTCAGTGAATATCAACATATGATAAATAAAACAATTTTGATATCTTTTAGGAAAATTACAATTTCAAATCATCGCGTCCTATCAAAGAATAGGAGAACTAACATTTCTGGATTTAATTAGTTAATAGGTATTACATTTATTAGGTATAATTACCTCTTTGTCTCCCAGCATGCCGATTTTGCAGTCAAGCAGCATGGTGCTGCCTATTCTGGCTGTGAAATTCATCTCCTCATCACCATCCTCGAAATAAGGCCCGTATTTGCCCAGAGCACTGTCCACGCTTGGCAATACGAACTTCCTCCCCTGCAGAGGTTTCAAGGTACTGCCCGAGTGATCCGGTTCCACCTCCGTTTTAATAGACGGTTTTATCTCGTAAAACGCCTTTGTGGACTTGCCGCCAGTCACCAAGAGATTGTTCATCGATCTGGAATTATCCTTCTTCGGATCCGCGACGATCCTCGCCCGTTCGTTATCCTGCTGACGCTTAGTATCAGCCACAGCTTCTTCCGTCTCGACCACTGGTACTTGGAACGAGATCGCCTTGATGTCGTCCACATTTTTCTGCTCAAGCGGCCTTAACTCCGTAGCGATCATCTCGCGGATCGACGCGGTTGTGAACCGAACCGTGTCCTTCCGTCGAGACTTGTCCACGCTGGTAACCGATCCTTCGTGTTCCACCACGTTCGACAGATCCTCGCCCACTTGGATGCCATCCAATTGGTCTAGGTTCCTTGGATTGGGCAACCGGACGTTCCAAGAATCGGTGCTTGACACGATTTCCGCACGATTCGGTTTGGTTGAAACCCCGAAATCCCAGGTCGCGTGTTGCGTCTTGTTCCCAGGATTGTTGCGCTCCACCGGCCTCGGTTCCGATCCCGCGGGATCGTCCTCCGGTTCGCGAACATCGTTCGACGTCGCTGTCGCGACGTACGACTGTCCACTTTGATCTCTCTGCGGTTCGACGACATTCGTACGCGAGTCGTTCGAGTTTTCAAGACCCGTAGGGACGAACTGAGAGTCCCTAGTCACTGGAATTTCGTTGGCAGTATCGTTGGCGACGTGTGTACGAACCGTTAAAGGGATCGGATCGTCAGCGACGGACTGGTTCGCGGCCCTCACTTCCTCTTGGACATGTTGGTCCTCTTCATCCACTTCAGGATGATTGATACTGGACTCGATGGTGCCGCTGTCCGCCTCTGCGGCAGGGAAAAAAGATATCGTTGATTTCTCGTGAAACAAAAGAACGAGAAGATAAGTGCGCCACTAGACCGCGGACTTTTATGCAAAATAAAACGTACATGGTGCCATCATAATGTGCACTCATCTTTTTATTTTTATAAGCATTCGTTACATCTCATGCAAATTCGATTTTTCTATAAATGCATAAAGTCCATGGTCCAGTCGCTAGTGATTGAAATTGATTATGTTCTTTGAAATTTTCTGGGTCATGCAATAATGTCGATTTTAGATTATCAAAAGAATTTTTAGCTTCATTGTATTTATTTGCGAACGTGACCTGGAAAACCGATTTCGAGTTTTTGTTTTAATGATAATGGACAACGATGAGCTTTTCACGTTCATCGATCGCGAAGCTCTGTCCAAAAACGTACAGGTCCCGGCGAACATTGGAATTTCTCCTATTTATAGCCCGTGATTTTTTCTACCTCTTCCGATACTCCGTTAGAAATGCTCGTTCTACATCAGCTATCGATGCATCTTTTAGTTCTCTTGATAAAGTGACGTTTTATCATATAGCACTCAGAAAGCCGAACTGGTTTTTGCGTTCCATGAATATGTAGGCGCGACTTCGAGCGTGGATAACAAAGAACGAAGAGGGGTAGGCAGATAATATCGGGTGCTCCCTGTACTTTTCTGAAAGACTTTCCAAAGAGAGATACGTGTCATTTGTAATTTTACGTCGAAACGGATATTTCGCGGATGTGTATACGTATTTCTCCCTGAACTCGTTTTCTATAGTTGTACGCTACCTCAGGTATCTCGAGTATCGACTCCTTTTTTGTTACTTCGCCGAAAGAGCACGTACCGGCGATTTGTTCCCTTCAAACTTGTGTTTTGTTCCACCCCCATGTTTCATCTGTACCTCTCGCTGATATAAAGTTAATGAAAACTGTGATATCCACGTCTCTATACGTTTAGAATTGAAGGAAAAACGTAGGGTTGGTCGAATAAATTTACAAGGACATGCGTGTTTTTCAAGATATTATTGATCAAAGATATCCTTTTAAGAATCAATGTGAAATGAATTTCTTTAGATGTCTGACTATTCTCGTTTGTACTACTTTATTGTACACATTCTTCATATTTTCTTAAATAAATTTTATTGTAGAAGGATTATAATATTTTTTTCCTCTCTTTCCTTTTGATGAGTTAAGATTTCCATTTCTTTTTCTAACATATAATTTACATTCTATTTCTAAATATAATATGTACATATTTTTTTATGATATATTATAATGCATTATATGATTACGAAGATGCTAATTACGTACAAACAGACATCTCCACCTGAAAGTAGGTCACATTTTTTTTAAATCAACGAATCTTATCGTTCTTCTGGTTACCGCAAAAAGAGGCTGGGAGCAGTTCGTCTTATCACGCATACTTTCCATACGTTCCAACGAAAGCCGCGGCATTTACCGTAGGAATTATAACGCGGATTAAAATTTCGTCGCATTCTTTTCGTGACACGGTCCCGTTGCAATGGTCTGCGCCACCGGAACGAAACAGCGAGGCCGGAAAAATTCCAGACGCTGCCGACCGCGGTAACAATGCTACCATCTAATTTCTTTGTTCCCGGCCTAGCCTTGCCATACCCATCCCTCGGAAAAATATCGCCCCACCCTATCTCGGGAATTTCATTTTAAAGTTTCACCACTGCAGAAGATCTACGTTGTTGTTGTTCGCCCTCGTTGTTTTACATGAAAGAACAACGTGATCGTTTAAGAGATTTCGTGACTGTCTCCTCAAATTCTTTTAAAATAACAAGTTAACTTAAAGTGCTAAGAATCCACGCGTGGAACGCAGTGTTGCTGATGCAATTTCTACACCACTGTCGTGGATCAAGGACTGTGAAAAAAGATCTTCTTTCCTTTACATAAAGGAATAATATGATCATTTACGAGACTAACTACTGTTCGCAAATTCATCTAAGGTAACATGTAGCATGAAGTATTAAAATCCTTCGAGCCACAGTGGAGGTCCTGCAGTTCCATCTTTTCCAAATTATTATTTTCATCATTTTGGGCATTTAAACCTGAATTCTTTTCTATAATAAACTAAATGAAGTAATTTTCAATCCGGGATTTTAAACTTTGAAACCCTGATGTCAGATTCGTAAGAAAAATTCGTGACTCAAAGGGTTAAATTAGTACGTCTTGTTTTATAAATTATAATCTTCTAGTGAAAAATGTACACTGTTACGAATGAATCATGGAACGATAGACTTTAATGCTTCTTGTTTTTGATAATGAATTCTTAATTGTTTTTATAATGGTTTCATATGCACCAACGTAATGCCAAGAATCCATGTGAAGAACTCGCGTTACTCGTGCAATTCCTATAACAACGCCGTGGATTAAGCTTCGTGCAAAAAGGCGTCAGCGAAAGAAGCGATGAACGACGAGAAAAAGTTGCGCTAATTCGTCGTAATTACCTAGCGAGGTACGAGCAATCAGTCACGTAACTTCGCTTAATTGTGGAACCGGCGCTCGTCGATCATAATTTGTCCGTGATACTGCGGATTTGTGGCTCGTGTTCATGAGTGTATTTCGTGGATTATTTTTGTCCTCTCGCTGGCTAATAAACTTTCTCTTTTCGCAGCGCGTTGCCCGAGGTTTTTTTCTCTCTGTCTCATTTTCACGCGGAGAAAATGTTTATAGAACCGCGTTGCGAAACTGTTTGCTCGAGAAGCAGCCGCAATTCGATTGTACTGCGAGCTGGCCGGAAGTTGCGAACAGTAAATCGCTGGAGAACGCGAGATAGGAGTTGAATGGAGGATATTGGAGACTCGTAGACTCGTCGGAGAAGTTCAGTTCCGAGAGTTTAAAACAGTTGCGCGTGGAGGAGCGGTGGATTTAGGGTCGAAAGTGGAGTCAGGGTAAAACCGGAAGCTTCAAAAATAAGAAAAATCGCACCCTTGAACGCATAGCCTGTGTCTTGGGACACTGGCGGACAATGAGAGACATGGAAGAATACTATTTGTTTAAGGTGTGTCTCTTTAAACTTTAGACATTTTTTAAGACCTTTTTCAGCAAAATAATCTGTTTTGCAACATTTTTAGATACATATTTTAAAGTATAAGAAAAAAAGGTTTATAACTTTTTTGGAATGGTAGATTTTTGGTGACTGTGTCAAAATTCAGGACAAAACAGTGTGTAAGAGTACTCAGCTTTAGTTAAACTTATAACGAAAAACCAAAAAGTATTTTCTGAATCGTTTCAATTACTGCACTGCATAATCATTTTCATAAATATGTATTTTAAGATGTAGCATATTTTTCGACTAATACGAAAACTAAAAATAATATTAATATTGAAGTCTCTGATTATTTGTATATTATTTTTAAGAGTATAAAGATTTTTTAATAATAATAAAAATAAAAATTCTATTTTTTTTACCACGGATACAATTGTGTTACCCTTTAAATAAAAAAAACGACAATTCAAATATAATTTGCGAGTGAACTAACCGAAATACTAACACACTGTTCCATTTTTCGAGCGTAGAACACAATTGATCTTCGCCAGCCGGGTTGTTTGCGCATAAACGAATTTCAGAAATTATTTCCGGCCGATGCGGCGTGCCGAGTTGCCGCGTCATATAAAGCGACGAACTGTGATCTCTCCTCGTGTTACATGTACGTGTGTAGGCGTGGGTGGGCTTTTTCTCGTTCGATCGATCGAGCACGATAAACGGTCAAAGCATTTATACGGAATCGCTTACGTCGCGATACGTGCGACCGGAGTAAATAATCAAGTTCGTTGCGCGAATTCGGTGAAGAAAAAAACCAGTATAAGACCTTATATCTAACGTTGAAGTGATAAAATTCTGATTCAAACAAGTTTCAAATTTCATTAAAATTATTGAGTGTTACAAATGAACATCAGAAGCGAAGTACACATTATAACATGTAATCAGTCTAAAAGTTTCTACTTGATTTTAAATAAAATACGAACGCTACATTTAGTAAAAACTTTTGCTGTACTCATCTCTGTACTCTATCATTTTTTTTACAAGTAGATGGATTCCTCTTTCGTAAGAAATGGAAGATAGAAGTTGATCATGCAAATGGAAATCACCATTTTGGACCGAACAAATCATTTTTTAACCTCTTGCAGAATAGAAGCAAAGTCCAAATGTATGAATACAGTTTTTTGTCACAATTCCAACATTCAGGCCCTTGCGAAAGTCGTATAACATAACATAGCAAAAATAAATTTTCTTTCTTCATATCGAGAAGCCAGTGTCATGCGCAAATCAACCTAAATCAATGGTGCCTGAAATTTATGAGGGTACTATCTTTCGATAGGTTTGTAACATACCATAATGCTAAAACAAACATTTATGTCGAAGTACGATCAGATCTGACCGCCCTTATAAATTCTGCACGAACTTTTGTACTGATATAATATTTAAAAAAAGTTAGAAATTTCTACTTAGATTTCATTCTTTAATAATATAAAAATTGAAATTCTACTTGTCTAAAATATTGTAAAATAAGAAAAAAATGTAAAACTCTCCTAGTAAAGATAGAGATAGGTAAAAAAGAGCGTAATATTCACCTGACAGCGTGGCAGTAATCAGAACGAAGACAATTGCGATGACGCCGAGCGCCGACGCGGTCGGCTTTAGCATTCTCCACCCGGTCATATCGAGGATCCGCTCGACTCTCTCAGCCTTCAGGGATCTGCTCCATCTCGTTGTTCATCTTCGTTCTGGCCAAGAAGAAACAGTAAAATAGACGCGTTAAAACTCTTACGATCAAATCGTTCACGTTTTAGAGCTTTGGAGGAAGGCCTCGTAAAAGTCGGTATCCATTAACTTCGCGCAGCTTTGTTCCCCGGCGGAGATTTGAACACCTTTCCACCGTCGGTTGTGACAATTAAGTCCTATCCCTATGAAACTGCCACGATCGTTACAAGATCGACTTTACGAGGACTCTCAACTATAATAGGCTGGATCTTATCTATTCTCGCAGCTGATCCACAGAAATTCTTAAAGAGTTTGTTATATGTAATAGAAAATGAGGATATTAAATCTGTTACCACTGGTTTCCATTCGAAATTAAATTAACCCTTACTGTGTAAATGTTGTTCTTCATTTTACGATCTAACTATATAAAAGCCTCGTTTGTGACCGATGCGTTTTTCCTATATTATAATTAAAGAAAATATCTGAAAGAATTCAAGCAATTTGTTAATATATGTTTAGTGTTTTATATGTATAGTAAGAATTAAATATACTTATTATGCATTCTCTCATTTTCGTCTAAAGTATTTTTCTTATTTAATTAAAAAAAAGGTAATTAAATGTGCATTATTTCTCTTAGACCTTCATCCTATATTAAAATTTCTATTGACGTGCCGTTTAATTTCCTCTCTTTACGTTGGTCAGAATGTTAATGAAATTCCGTGGCGCGTTTCGGCCAGCGTTTAATTAAGAGAAAAGTTCCTCAGTACTTTTTAAACTTCATGTCGATTCGGAATCGTCGCCCAGCCTTTTAACATATTTTAAAACAGTTCACACCAACCCGAGATAGCCTCCATTGTTAACAACGATCACGATCTTTATGTAAAATCTTAAGAAAGTTATACCATAATTGATTAAGAGACGAAGCCTGTTTGCTCCATAGCGTCTAAAATTCTCTGACACCTGTTCAAAACTTCAGTTTCATCTTTAATGTATCCTTCCGGCAAGACTTGCAACTTACGAGGCACCGGTAGTATCCAACCAAAGTCGATTATGAAACTACCATGAAACTCACGACATTCCTTATACACGCAAAGTCCAGCAAACATCCATAGATCTCGGTTCCAAAACGCCTGGATTAAACCTCCATTAAGCGTGATTAAATCATGGACATCGAAAACCGACACGATTCTTCTTCTACTCTAATTACACCGATTAATTAATGAAGTCGACTAGACACGAGTGTCGTGACGACGATGTACAAACTGGAACAGACGGACACGTCTGCGAGGGACAACTGCTATACCGCAGACGTTGCTGACAAATTTCGGCCGATCAGCAATTGTAATGCCTAATCAGACGTGTAATTATCACTAACAAGACGTGAAATCATGCAAAAGTAATTGCATAATTATATTTATATCTATAATAATCAAATATTGCAATCATTGCGATCTTATGCTACAGAAAATTGCAGTCCACTTCACTTTCGAGCAAAATGGCAGTGTGTGAGTCGAGGCTGCAGCCACTCGTCGATGGATAAAATTTCCCTTGGAAGTTAAATATCCGTGAGACCGTGATTACGCAATTTAGTACGATACGTGCTGTTTTACCATCATCATCGTTTTTCATTAAAATATTACAATTTTCTTCTAAATTTGTCTTCCTTAAACAGTGTGAAATATTTATACGAAATTTTCTTATTACAAAGATCAATTTACCTAAATCTTGTTCGTTGGAAAAAGATTAAAAACCAGGCATAATAATGTCTATTATTAGATGATTTATTAGCCACCGAGGGTGGTGAGAATCTCGCCATCAGCGGATGTTATTAGAAAAGTTGAAAAAGTACCGCAAGTTTATACGTTCTCCTCGCCTGAAGTCGGGATGCTGTCAGTGAATTCGGGAGTGTTTTAACAACTTCAAAGACGGACTAAAAAAGTAAAGGTTTGTTTTTTCAGACGCGTCAAAATGAAGGCTACCCGCTCTAATTTAAATCGAGAACAAGCCGGAAGGAACGCCGAGTTGTTTGGCTCGTGAAAGTTTTTCCTCCAAGGAAGATCAAATGTTTTCTGATTAGGCCGTTGTGTATGTATACCCGGACTTCTTATCTCGATTTTCAGTAAAAGAAAGCAGTCGAAGCTCGTTATTCATATTTCCTTTCAGCCGAGCGAGATTATATCGAAAATGTCCATTGTACTACGTTCTCATTGAATCCCATCTTACCTTCTTTATCTCATGAATACTTATTAAGGTTTCTTCGTACCCTTCTTATTAAAGCCCTGCGTGATATTAGTTACGCTAGAGTTTTTTTAAAAACTTTTCAAGAACACGGCAAAGAAACGGTTGCGAGGCGACTGGAATTTCATCGCGGAACTGGCGCCCCAAAAATTACGTTCACGAATTGGCTCGGATAGTTTCATGCTAGCGACGCAACGCAATCAAAGAGCTCCCCGCCTTCCAATTTCCGTTGCGAATTTTTCCGTGGTAGCCACTTTACCGCGGCGCTCGCGAGGGCAATGCTGTAAAACCTTTTTCCATTCGTTTCCCCCGCGGGACGAAACGTCCGAACTCCATCGAACGAACTTCGAGCCCTGGACACAAACAATCACGATCGCCTAACTTTTCTTTGGAATTTAAAACGGCAAAGTGCGGCACCTCTCATTTGTGAAGCTTCCCGATTTCAAAACTTCTGCCACTCGTTTAATGTTCCCTTCCTTATAATGCCTGTTCCTATTTTTTCAACATTTAAATGTAACAAAATGACTTAGGATCTTCTAATACGTATTAATAATATGCTTGCTTCTTGGAATAGTCTTATTACTATCCTCAGAACTGTAGAATAATTTTTGTTTTAACTACCTAAGTTTGAAACTTGACTTACGTCACTAAGTAATCTATATTGTAGAATCCATTCTAACTTGGAGAAAGGTCGAAATAACTTTAAACACAAAATTGTCCAACGTAGTTTAGAGTTATTTTCTTAGAAGTTTCAAAAGCGAAGTATGATGCGAAGTTTCAAAAGCAATGTCGCATAAGCTAATTAATTACCGCAAATTTTGCCATTAAACTATATCGACTTTCTTCTTCAACTGCAAATACTAAATTCTGGTCATTAAACTGTAGATTTTTATATAAACCTTTGTAAGCTTGTCTGTAATAAAATATAATTCAATTAGAGCGATCTTTTATTCTCTAAATTTAATAACTTACATTCTCTGTTTTATGCGTTTATATTGATTATTTGCAATGTATGAATTCTTTTTATTTTAATCTTTGTTAACACTCAATTTTTCTATAAATGCATAAAAATCCGCTGACTAGTGGTTCTTTAATGTTTATAGTAGCGTTCTTCAGTCTGAATAGTTATCAACTCTGAGCGAATCTTGTGCTAATACATCTCCTTCGATCACACCCACTTCGCAGGTGCATGCATTGTGCTATACAGAGGTATGTATTGGTTAAGACGATTCGCAGCGAACTTCTCTGATCGAATTACCATCGTCGACTCGATATTCTAGTTAACCGTAACTCTCGAAGGAGACCGGCTGACTGATAGAAATTCTGCTATAAGATAATCGCGCTTCAAAGGATATCCAGATCTGACTCTGGAACTTGGGCACTAAAGAGAGTTGCGAAATACAATTTCCTGAACATCGTATGAACGATTAAAAAATACAATTACTATCATAGGTATTAGAATTGCCTCTCATCATTCTTGTTCAATTAAAGACACTACCATCCTTTTAATTTTTTTTAATGCGAAACGAGATTCAATTGAAATAAAAAATTCTTTGAACAGGTTGAACCGTTGTTTAAAAAATTGTTCACGTTTTTAAAATTCATGCATGATATACGATAATCCAGTGTGCATAGTTAAGAGCACTGGATTTTTTTAATTTTTCAATCAAATTCATCGCGTGACACAGAACTGCAAAACTAGTTACTGGCGCGGGTGACACACGTGAAAAGAACAGTGAAACAGAGAAGGAAACGGAAGCGGTGAGGAAGAAGAGAGCTCGCGATTTTCCGCGTTCGCCTGCCAAATGCATCCCGCAACACGGGGCGACGAATTCGATTAAATAATAAAACCTGTCCGACTCTCTGCGTTGCGATTTCCTTTCTTTTTTTTTTATTTCGAAGCGCGGGCCGACAAAAAGCGACGACGGACAGGGATGAAACAAAATAACCGAATTGAGCGATTCGCCTTCGGAGCGACGCGCGGTGAAAATTCAATTTTTAATTGTGTTTGATCTATTTGACGAGCGCTAGTTTAATATCGACACGCGCCTATCAAATTCCATCGCCCGTCTCGGTCGATTTACTCAACCATCGACGACGTACTGAACATTGCCGGAGAAAAGCGTGAAGGCGTTAGCTCGTGAAATCTAATGAACAACAGAATTAAAGCCGTTATTCGCTTACCTTTGTAAGCTTGTCTGTAATAAAATATAATTCAATTAGAGCGATCTTTTATTCTCTAAATTTAATAACTTACATTCTCTGTTTTATGCGTTTATATTGATTATTTGCAATGTATGAATTCTTTTTATTTTAATCTTTGTTAACACTCAATTTTTCTATAAATGCATAAAAATCCGCTGACTAGTGGTTCTTTAATGTCTATAGTAGCGTTCTTCAGTCTGAATAGATATCAACTCTGAGCGAATCTTGTGCTAATACATCTCCTCCTTCGGTCACACCCACTTCGCAGGTGCATGCATTGTGCTATACAGAGGTATGTATTGGTTAAGACGATTCGCAGCGAACTTCTCTGATCGAATTACCATCGTCGACTCGATATTCTAGTTAACCGTAACTCTCGAAGGAGACCGGCTGACTGATAGAAATTCTGCTATAAGATAATCGCGCTTCAAAGGATATCCAGATCTGACTCTGGAACTTGGGCACTAAAGAGAGTTGCGAAATACAATTTCCTGAACATCGTATGAACGATTAAAAAATACAATTACTATCATAGGTATTAGAATTGCCTCTCATCATTCTTGTTCAATTAAAGACACTA